TCAGTTGGGCTTTGTTCAGCCATTTATTCCTCCAGAATTGGGTGCAGCAGGCATTTTGGAAGCGCCCATTTTTTCCTTAAAAATAGGTTCCGGAGGGGCTCACGAAGCGAACAGATTTTTGGCGCGGCTGTTTTTTTCCGGGCTCTTTGAACGCCTGCTTTTTTTCGTCCTCGGGGATTCACAGGCGGGGTTTAGGGTCCAGGGTTTATACAAATTGTATACGGTTCAGGTCCGGAGTTTTGAGCGAGTTTCCGTTTTAACTTTTGACCTATACAATTTGTATTTATCTGGGCTTGAGGGATATAGGGTTTAGGGAATAGGCAGTTTCCCCCCAATAATGGAGAATCACATGGCAATGCAAATCAAACATGAGATGGAAACTACTTTAGAATTTATGTCGGGTTTAGGAGGATATCTTACCCCAATAATGGAGGCACATGAAATGGAAACTGGGACTGTAGTGTAGTCACTATCTCTATATATATATATATACTGGTTTATAATAGGGATTGTATACTTGTTTGTGTAGTAGGTTGTCAAATGCCTGGTCGCTTTTTCAGTCCCCTTTATAATACGACCCCGATTATCCAGGGAATCTAGGGTACCCCGAAAAGGGCGAGGGACCATAATTTAGACAAACCCTCATGTAGTTGCGTAGGACATCACTTGATAATTGAGTTATGATATGCCCCTAATTACATAGGGGTTATACAGGGGTTATATTGCGATTATATAGGGGTTATGTAGGGGTTATATTGGGGTTATATAGGATTTATTTTGGGGCTTCCAAACCATCTTCAACACTACACAGCCTACCAGGTCAATGCCCTTACTGCTTATTTTCTGCTTTATGTGAGAGGCCTCTTGAAGCGGTCGGGATTGATGGCTCACTTTTCAGCCCAGTTCCTGTACCAGAAGCATCAAGCTCCATTCTGCTACGGCTTCAAGACTAAGAAGAAAAAAGTCCCTGAAACCTAAAGCCAGTAAACATGTGTCAAAAAAGGAGCTGCACGCGGAGTAGCTCCATCATGCCCGGAAAGCCCCGCGAACAGCAAAGCTGAGCCATGCCGAACTCTTCATCCGTGATCCGCAAACGGGCTTCGCGAGCACCAAGGCATGGAAACAAGTGATATGACTGCCTCATCACAATACAGATCACCAACCTCTATAACGAGCTGCGCGCGCTATCACCAACACTCTCGCCCTTTAAGCCAGAAGCCATGTCTGCCTCAGGAAGCGCACTAGAGAGTTTGCGGCACTGGTGGCACAGGGCAAGGCTCACATCTTGCCTCCCAAGGCTGTAAGTTTGAGGTCTTGCACAGTGATCAATCTGCTGTCGGGCCTTTTTTGGTTCGGCGGTAGGCCGGCAGCAGTCTTGTCGGTATCTTTCCCTGGGCATTGAACATAGCCCAGGCTTGAAGCCTATACGTCACCCTTTGGTTAAAATCGCTCTTGCTGCAGGGCCCGGAGTATCAAGCAATGCATCCGGCAAAGTTGACCTTCCAGGCCGGTTCTGCAGGACTTGCCACGGGTAAGTGAGGAGGCCGGTGAGGTGGCAATCCTCTAGGGTCTCCTAGCCCCAGCTTCTCAGAAAGAGCGTGGGTGCGTTGGCTCTTGCTGTAACTACTTCAAAATCAGGCCGGATGGGAAATCATGAGCCTGTCCTGAGTCTTCCAAAGGACTCTTGTAGTGTAGCACAAGCAAGCCAACGGCCGTGAAGTTAGGGACACAAGAGTTTGCACTGCTCGTTACTGAGCTAGACGGGCTTATGTTTCAGCAGCTTGCAGCGAACGGATTTGCACATAGGAGCTAGCTGGCCTCTGCGGGAACCCCAATTTTGCAGGCGCTGCGAATACATCTGAACGGCGAGCCGGAATCCAAGAATTAAACTCGAGTCTGGTGTGGAGTCTAGCGGGGAAGAGTAGATGCGCAGAGGCTGCAGAGACAAGACAGTAAGTTTTGGGCTTGTATCTCAGAACACAATGCAGGTGATTACCTAGAACACTGCGCAACACATCTGCGCACTTGTGAAATAGGATTCAAGGCAAAGGCGTGGCGTGGCCTTCCCAAAGGTCAATCTGACATCTACTCCAAGCTTACAACGTTCTCTTCCATCCGTCAGGGACGGAGCTCCCCATTATTTGGGTTTAGCCTTTGATGGAGCTTGCTGAAATTGGCAGGAACTGTCTGTGAACCGCGCAACTTGGGATGCTGTAAATCTTCAAGCTTAGGGCGCCTAAGTTGTCGAGAGGCGGCGAGAACAGTAGCCAAACTCGGGGCAGTCAAGTCCTCCTATACTACTGCCTATTCCATTTTTGCTGAGCCATCTCAGGCTTTCCTCCACCAAATGGTCCAAATTTGGAGGTATGAGAGCTACTGCACCCTCAATCCGAAGCCCTAAACCAAACATTCCACCTCAAAGACCGGGGAAAGAATGCATCCTAAAGTCAAAGACATCACCCCCTGAAGTCAAGGTTCGATGAGATGCGCAAAGGAATCTCTGCAGCGCAGGGGCCTGAGGTCCCGGGTGCCTATATAGGAAACATATTGGGAATGTATTACGAAAACCACTGTAATGTTTATGTAGGGCTTAAGGGTATGTGTATATATATGTATGTATATATTTACCCCAAGAACACAGAATCGCATGGAAAAGTCAGTGGCAATACTACGACTATAAAGTTTCTATTAAGGTGTAAGGGGATATGCAGGATTAAAGGGAAGATCTTACCCCAGTAATGGAGCATCGACTAGAGAGGAACATGGAATTTCCCTGTTATATGTATGCTCGTTTACAGGTGATATCTTACCCCAGGGATGGAGAATCAAATGGGAAAGAAAATGGACACTACAAGAATATTATGCAGGGTTGAGGGGGATATCTTACGCCAGCACTGGAGAATCAAATGGGAAAGAAAATGGAAGCTACTAGAATATTATGCAGTGTTGAAGGAGATATCTTACCCCAGTAATAGAGAATCAAATGGGAATTTAAGTGGAAATAAGATTTCAACTGGTACTCTTTACTTTGCTGGAGCTTCCTGATAAAGTTTGCGATACAGCTACCGTAGTGCATAGTGATGCTGAGAACTTTGTCTACACAGTGCTTAACACCACACCCAAAATCCTAAAACTCTTAACCCAGAATCCCCAAAGCCCTCAAGCCCAATCCCAGTGCTCTTAAAAGTTGCTGTTTCAGGTTTGGCTTGCTCGGAGAAGGCGGCCGGATCGGCTTAATCTCCTGGAAGCACTCCGAATGTGCCATCGCTCCATCCTTAGGTGAGTTACAAGCGTCAGGGCTTTTGAGGGTTTAGGCGCTTTAGGGTTAGGAGCTCAGGGTTTGGGGATTTAGGGTTTGTGTCTAGTTGTGTCCATCGTTTTCGTTATTTGTGCTAGCCCCTGCTGCAGAATTGTCTCTTACTTGCGTGCTGTGGATGATGGCCATGGTCATAGTAGCATACTGAAGACAGTTATAAAGATGCTCGTGACTATGTTGTCAATGCTGTGTTCTGATGTTCACGATGCTGAAGATCGCTGCCGCTTTGTTGAGGATGACGGAGCGTTGTTCTTCTTGCGGGGCGCAGTGCTGTAGTTCATCTTCATTGCTGCGCTGTTACGCAGCGAGCCACCCTTAGCATCCCTATAACCACTTGCGTTACTACAATCATTGCTCCCAGTTGCCCGGAGCAAGCATCATTCTCAATACCGCGATTGGTCTCATGGTTAGGCTTTCATTGTCAAATACAGTCTTGCCTGCAACTCCTACCATGCACATGTGGTTCCAACAACATGTTTTCTGACCAACATGGCTTACCCACAAGTCGGAGATTCTTTTTGGTTTGTTTACCTACCTCATACCGCAAAACTCAAAACTCTGGTCCTGCTGCTCAGATCATGGACATTTTTCGCTCCCTTGAAGCTGTCCGCGACAAGGAGAGCCCAAGTCTTTTCGTTGAGCCTGAGTTAGAAGCACTTCTGGGCTTGGGGTCTCATCGTACAGGTGTGTAGGACCAGAATTCAGAGTGTACTGTCAAGAGTATGGTTTACAAGATTCGCATAGTTCGTTGTCCAACAGAATGCTGGACCTGGTGAGGAGCCACTTCTCAAGTGGTACCGCCCCTCGTCCGCATCTTGAACAGGAGTTGGTTGCACACTTACTCAAACGTCCTGACTGGCGGTATCGGAAACCATGAGGGTGTTGGCACTTCAAAAAGGTTTATCAGCAGCGTCATACAATCTTTGGGGATCTGCTCGCTCTCATGTTGGGGTGTAACTGAAGTGAATCTCACTCTGCCAAACGCGTCCCGACTTGGCATGCGACTTCAATGCTGTGAAGGTGGACGTCCCATACACTGCGTCCTGCCGTGACACCACAAGCATTCCAAGAGATCTAAGGCTCTTTACCAGAGGCAGAACAGCTGCCTGAAAGGTGGTCGATGGAGATGGACGATATTGCCAGAGCCCTCACTTGCGGGTATAGTAGGCAATGAAAGAGTGGAAAAGAAATGGAATGCACTATATGGATTGTATAGGAGCTAGTATATGGATCCATGCCATTCAGTTCCTACTTACAACCAGTAGGCCGAGCCTTGTGGAGGAGTTGTTGTTTGTCTTGGTCATGGGGCTCCACTCTCCGGGGAAACTTCTTCCCAATGAGGGCCCCCTGATGTCAAGTTGGAACTCTTCAAGTGCCCCGAGTCCAGAGGGTACCCGTACTGTGATAAATCTCTAAACCCAAAGTTCTGAATGATATGGCGCTTTTCCACTTCTTTTGTATTCCCCTAGATACCGCAAGGTAACCCCTTGGCTAGTGCTAGTACGAAGGGATTATCACCCATTATGGCATACTGTGGCCTGGTACTTGCGTGATGAGCTGAGACCCGACCGTCGGAGAAGGAGCTGCAGACGAACTCCAGATCCCGTGTCTGGGGCTGCAGGTATATGGTTCAGGGTTTGAGGGTTTAGGGTTTGAGGAGTAGTGTCCAACCTTCAGGGTTTGTACTTCCAGGGTCGGGTTTGAGTGCTTATTATGGTTTAGCTGTGGAAGGTTGTCGATGGTCTGGTCTCGTACGTCCCTTTGTTCACCATCTAAATTCCTGCTTTGGACCATCTTATCTGAACGATTTCTTGGGAGTGGCCTTGATTTGTGCAAGTGCTCATTGCTTCTTTTGCATATTAGAGGTCCATTTTCAGTCCTTCAGAAAGCCTGCTCGGAGGCTCTACGTTGCCGCGCGTCTTGCGAAAGCAGTTTGTTGCTTCGGACCCTGCATTGCGGGGGGAGTTTCCTTGATTGTTGCAAGCGCCCATTGCTTTTTTCGCAAATGCCTTATCCCTAAAGCCCTAGACAGTAAAACCCTAAAAACCCTAAACCACTAAACCCCCTAAACCCCCTAAACCCCCTAGACCCTAAACCCCTAAACTCTCCCAGTTCTCCCAAACCCCACTCCTGAGGCTCCGCTTTGTTGCACGTTTTGCGAAAGCAGCTTGTCCGCCATTACTTACCTTACATTTGGTTAGCCGGGAACGAAGGAATGGATAATGGAAAAGAAAATGGAAACTACTGCAATTATATAGGGGTTATATTGGGGTTATATATAGGGACTACTAGAAGGATCGATTCCTTCATTCCTAGCTAACCCAAGGTAAGTTTACTTGCAAAGCCAACTGGACATCCATTCGGCGTTACCAACTTGGTTCGTGGGGTTCTCGAGATTCTAGGCTCTTTTTGAAAAGGATCCAAAAACAAGGTTCCCATTGTTTTGGGATGCACAAACTTGAAACAGACCTTTTCAACTTGTGGGATTATGGAACGTTGCGGACGGGACTCCAACCCTGCTTTGAGTTGGACTTCAGATTGACCTAAAGTTGCTTTCATGTTGGATAAGCCTGCGCCCTGGACTGGGGAGAGCTGAGGGTGGCATTCCTGAAGCTGCACTGCTAACTCTGTTAAGAAAGCAGTGGTCATAATCATGATGGTTTACCCTGATATGCTGTTGCCTGATTGGTTGTTAGAAGGGTCATGCAGGCGAGCATCATCATAACAACCGCGGCAGCTGCCACGCCAGGCGGCGAATGCCACGCTTGGCGGATTTGGAAAGCCTCGTCTATGCCTTGCTCCTTTTCTCGCAGCTTTGGGTTTCAGACATCGAGTCGGTTTCGGATCTAAGGTTGGGCTCACGGTTCAGGGGCAAGCAGAGCTTCTGCTCACACCCTCGAAAGTACGAATCGATGGCTACAAGAAGGGCAGAAAGTCATCTCTCAATTCACGGTCTCAATGTGTAGATGCATTCCCAAGACACCATTCCTTCTACTGGCCGTCATGCCTTTTCAAGGCCGGCGTGGTGCAATGTCACCCAGCCTGCCACAAGCTCCACGCCGCCGAAAAAGAGGCGGCGAGCAGAAATGGAGGCGGCTGTGAACTTGATCTTTCAGATAATCAGTTGAGGATTGTCCTGAGAAAAAGATTTGAAGTCTACATGGGATCGCCCTGAAATGCTGTGGGATTATCCAGGGGTTCATACCAGGATTGTGGAGGGTTTGTGGCAAGGTTTCTACAGGGTTCAATTGCACAGGAGCTTCCTATATGAAAAGGGACCACGCAGGGATGTGCTGCTAGAGAAGTCTGGAAGGGCTATCGAGAGCGTGAACAGCATGACCCTGAATCCCTTCTTGGGAGCGGGCGGCCAGGCAGAGGGCAACAACCACCTTGAAGTCGCGACGCCAGAGTCCAAGAGCCTTGGGAGCCGGTAGAAGGTTTTCCGATTTCCTTGTCTGAACTTCCTTGCAGACTCCCTATGGGGAAGCTAAACTGCTTGCAGCCTCTGGAAGTAAGGAATCCTGCGGAATTCCGATGGCCCTGCGGCCGTTGCGGAGATAAGGGACACAGGCAGTCTAAAACGCATGGGAGCATATATGAAGTGCTCCAGACTGAAGAAGGTTGAGAGCTTGAGGTCATGATAACCTTCATCCCTTGCGTCCTAGAGAGGCAGCTTCTATTGCCTCTTCTACTCTCCCAGTCATGTTGGCTTTATGCTTACATGTTGCAGCCGTCTTTGAGAACTTTTTTGGCTGTCCCATGCTGGAAGCCCTGGCAGGGTCAGCGACTGCCCCAAAGCACACCTGGAAGGCTGCAATCACTGCGGCAAGGCCATGATGTGCTTGTTCTTGACCGTGTCATCAACCCACAGCGGTATACCTGGACCCCACAAGTATGTAGAATAATGGCCTTTTGGGCTATATTTCTGGGTTTTGGGCGTTTATTCTACCTACTTTTGGGGTCCAGGTATACCTGATGATCTGGGAAGGTCGGTCACACTACGAAGCGGTGCACCTTTGGCGCCAAGCCGTCGGAGCGCTTCTTGCCCTGTGATGGCACAAGGCTCCATGATCATTAGCAGTACTGTAGTCTTGTACTTAGTAATGGAAAAGAAAATGGAAACTATATATATATACACTATATATGGAAACTATATATATATACATACATATATAGTAGTTCACTTTCCTTTCCATTATCCCAATATAATTCCAATATGACCCAATGTAAGCCCAAGTAGTCGTGTACTTGCTACCGGCTGTGGCTGTCACGGAGAGCTTGGTTGGCATAACACTTCCTGCAAGTCTCCGCGGAGTCGTGGCAGGCCACATTTGCCCTGCTTTTGGCGCCGCTACCTGCTGCCGCTGCAGCGGGCAAACGCGGAAGCGCTGCTTGAGTGGATGCTATGTCTCAGTATTCGGCAGCAAGGCAGCCACGCAGGTCCATTCTGACCCTGACCAAGCTTGGCACGTGTACCCTCAGGTTCAGTGCTGACGACCCGCGTGCCTGCGGCCGTGCTGATGTGGGCTTGCGCTGCATCTCTGCGGCTCTCTTCCGAAGCCAGGGTCTACGGCACAACACGCAGGCACGAAGTCTTTCTCTCCTCACTGTCAGCCCGGACACCTCAACTGCGTGTTGAGAGGTCTGCCTGTCCTTCGAAGCAAGCAACCACACCCTCGAAGTTTCGGGTGCACTGGCAAGAGGTGAGCAGGACCTGAACTGCTGCTTATTGTCGGTCATTGCATGTGAAGATGGAGTTTGCGGCTGGCTCTCATCCCGGGATGAGTTCCAAGTAGTTGTATGGGTGATTCCTTGTTAGGTTTCATTCTACCCTCATAATATCCCCCTTTACAACCCCTATGACGCTTCCCTATGCAATCCCCTTTGAGGAGTTTAGACCTTAAAAACCCTAAACCCTATATAAACCCTTGTATAGCCCCTGTTCCACGTCACCCTGCGAGGCCTCGTGCCCGATGAACCGCGCTTGGCATCTCGCGTCTCTGAGGCCTCTATGGCTCGTTGTACGTGTTTGCGGGGGCATCCAACATTCGCAATCTCTGAAGACCCCTATAAGCCTTTTCCGTATGTAGGATATACGGAGCCTGTCTGTCCAGAAGTGACCTTAGCCAGTCTGAGCGACCGCCTTTAGTATTGCGTAGGAGCCAAGGTCAGGCAGAGATGTGGACAGCACCCGCATAGAACGCGATACTCCAAAGTGAGCGACTTCTAAGGATCCAGTCCAAAGGCAATGATGTGAAACATCCAGGTAACGGATCTGTCAAACCGGTGTAAAGCTTTAGGTACGAAACTTGCAGCACAAATGAGCGATACCCCTTTTTGCATAATGGCTGGAGCTGCTCCTATACGACTCTATGTATGCCGCAAGATTACCATTCGGAAAGTCTTGGCTTCTAGACACATCATAGTCAGTGCAGTTCGCTGATGTAGGAAGAGCGTGGGGAGTACATTGAATCATCATGTAACAATCTTCTTGACTTTCTTGCTGTAGAGGTATTGGAGTCGTACTTCGCCGGCCAGAGTCTGCCGAACCCGGAGGAAGAGCCTGAGGCAGAAATCATATGAATTGCTTGGGTTCAAGGCTGATGGCTTAGCGCTTCGGCTTACTGGCTTACTGGGGCTTAGGGCTGCCACAGGGTTTAGGGGTTTGCAGTTTGGGCTGTATCGCGAACTGAGATTGCCTTGCAGTTGGGCGTGCCTTGTACTAGAGGACGTTGTGACACGTTCCTGCAGAACGGTACGGCACATCTTCTCAACCCAAGCAGAAAGCCATGAGAATCCGGCTAGAATGGTAATCTCAAGAATTCTACACCTGTTTTCATAGAGAGGCTTGGTGCTCCTCGAACCTTCGAGGGCTGGAGGTGAAGGCACGGTCCACGAAAGCAGCGCTAAAGGCCAGCTGGGGTTGAAGCGATGCCAAGCACAATAAGCACAATTTGCAGGCTTGGGGGGCTCGAAATTAGGGCCTCCAAGTCTTTGTCGCTGCCCCCCCCCCCCTNNCCCCCCCCCCCCCCCTGTCTGAGCTCACAATCAGAAAACAGGGAGCCTGTTTTGAGGAAATCCTACACCAGCTGGAATGCGAGTCTGCTTGCAGGATGGGTACTTGTGCAGGTGCTTCCGATGCTAATTTGTCCATTGCCAGTGGCCGCAAAGGCTGCGCTGAAGAAAAAGCCCTCAGAGCCAGCGGAAGCTCGAGTGGTTTCTTGGAAGCACTGTTGTGGAATGTCAACTCGAGCAGGCGAACGCTACATAATCTGCATATCCGCGCTGCGTGCCGAGGTGATGCTGATGTTGGATGCTGAGGGGGAGCCGATCGCAGAAGTCCTGAAGCAAATTGCTAGGCGGGAGCAGGGGTTTAGGGTTTACAGTTCACACTGTCTGCCCAGGAGATGTCGGTGTCGTGGTATGGAAGTGTTGTAGGACTTGGTAAACGATGACACAGGAAAGTAGGGGCGGGAAGAGCACTTCCCGCAGCAACTACTTAGCGCATAATAATGGAGCGCTGTTGAGTGCTGGCATCCTGTGCGTTCTCGGCATTCTTGCCCCCGCCACTGCACGCACGCTTGTGTTTCAATGTCTTCCTGCCTAATATCCTTAAAAAACGACAACAGCCGCTTTTTGAAAACCGGGCCAGACGTTTGTGCCAGGAATGCTGAACTTGTTTCAAGGATGGCTTCTCTCGAAGCAAGCCACATATACTGCTGCTGCAACTGCGACGGCGGCTTTGCTGCTGCTACTCTGCTACTGCCACCCTACTACTGCCACCGTGGGGTTCCAGGAAGCCACTGCTTGGCATCGTGGCAGTGGTGGGTGATCACCGCGGCTTCGGGCCTGAGGACATGGAGGCCTACGAAGAGGCCAGAGAAGTGGGGTTGGGGAAGGGAGGTTAGGGTTGCAGGGTGGGATGACATGGCGTAGGAACCAGTCACACGGCTTCAGCCTGTGGATGGGAATCCTGGAAGTTGTGATGAATCCCCCAAGATGAAAGGAGGTGCGGTTCAAGGCACATTGTACTTGGCATGCACATTCAATGAAGAACTGGAGCTGGAAAGTCAACTTCGAGGACAATTACGTATATGTCTGGGTCTCTGACGTGTATTACAACGAGACATTTTTCATTCCCTACTTAGCACAAGGTAGACAGTAGACACGTTAGCCAAACTCCACAAGAAGTTAAGCATGCAGGCAACATGAAATACCGATAGTAATCTTGCTGATGATACACATGCCACTTGTAAAAGGGCAAAGCCGTAAGAGTGCTAAGTAGATCTTAGTAGCACTGTAGGATAACTAAATGTATGCGGTGTTCCGAGAATTCGTGGGACCCCCACACTAGTGGAATGCTTGTAGTATGGTAGATTGCTCAGGTGGCTCGATCCATGCAGGCAGACATCGTGCGCGCATCGCTGGGTGGGACGACTTTGCTAGGCCTGCTGCCCAAGCCTAGTTAGGAAAACGCTCCATTCATAAACAGGTTTCAATCCATACCTCTCTATAGCCCTTCTTACTAATAACAAGAGCGTTTCGCAGTGCGACTAATTGGCGCAACATTTTTGAGAAAGATTCTATCTCTTTGTTTTTTTTTTGTTTGTGTGTGTGTCCTTGCTGTTTGGGATCGAGGATTTAGGGTTGAGGCTTTTGCGGTTGAAGGGCTGGATCATGTATCATGATAGACCCACAGCCACTATACACCATGTCAGCAACTAGGGTCAGCAATGTCGTTGGAATCCTCCCCTGAGCCCCAAAGTGTACCCTTTCGTTGAGAAACTCCCATCAGAGTATGTCACTTATGCCCCAAAGCAGGCTCCCATTGCATCGTCATCCTGCAGCATTACCTCGACGAACACTTGCACCGGTGTGAGGCTTGGTGCTGAGCATATTCTCCTACTATCATCAGTATGATTCTATCCTTAGGATGACTGGTATCCTCATTGATCTTGCTTGCTATTCAGGCCCGGTTCCTTTATGCCCGGAGGATGGTATTGAGCAATACAAGGGTATTCCATCCCCATATAGGCTCTGGGAGTCTGGAATTGTAGTTGATGGCTCTCACTTGAACCTACAATCCACGGTGAAGATGTTGCTTGCCATTGCAGTTGGAGCCGTCACA